ATCGCAGATTATAAAACGAGTTGCCAAAAAATATCGATTGCTTTAATAAAGCAGCAACATTATAAATTAATGAACTTGATTTAAACTTCGAAAATATAAAATAAGTGACGATTTACATTGATTCACATCGTTTAAATAATTTCCTTAATATTTTTAACATGAGCAGGAATATATCGTTTTGACGCTAATTAATAGGAATCTGTTTTTACTGCGAGATATTTTTTTTTTTGTTGGCTTCACGTTTCCTGATTCTCTTCGGATTACAATTCCATATTCGGATTCCGTATATTCGGATTCGGCATACATCCTGTAGGAAACAATTGGACATCGAGTTCCGCAAATGAACATTCATCTTCTGATATTTCAGCGGACGATCCTTGTTGTTGTTTGCGCGAATGAATAGTTAATTTTTCGCCGCGGCGCATAAAGTGGGGCAGCGTATAACGATCTGTCGGTGTGTCGATATTCCGGCGATATATGTTATTCCTCGAGCCGTCCATCTGGTTCGGCGCGCAAACGTCGTCTCGCGTGTCGATCGATGCGTCAGTCTGATGTGGTCGATGAAAGGTCGGATTTCCATATGCTATGCCAGACTACTATGTGCACTCGTATTTCGCCGTTCTCGCAGCGGTTCCGCGCGCAAGGCGCGGCGATCGGCATTGCACGCATCGCCGTCGGTTATATTGCATCGCAGTCAATACCAATCGACAGTATTTCAACATTAATCGCCACCGCGTCCGCTGTTTCGGTAGTTTCTGGGGGTATTATTTTAAAGTAACGGAAATGGGCATGGAGATGCCGTGCTGTATATAACGTTCGTCTAATGAAAATGCATTTTACGCACGGGAAGAGATTATTTAAAGGAAAACGGTCTACGTCGGGAAACCACGCAGGTAGATACAAGGCAATGAAGTAATGAATATTATAGCGAAGCTTTACGATATTGAAGCCGCAGAAATGTGAAGTAATGCTATACATAGTCGCAATATTGAAGTAAAAACGACGTAGCGAAAATAAAGTTGAAATTTATTTAATCGGACGTTCGTGTGCGTTAATGCAATTTGCAATCTAGCCAACGAATTGCGAAAGTAATTATAATTGCAACGATTGCAGTTCGGGATTTAAAAGGGAAAGCATATAATATTGATTGGACTCGTATTCGCGTATTCGCTTTTACTCGATGCGTTAATGTCGCGCGTTTCCTCGCCGAGACAATCTAGGCATGTACAATTATTCCCGGACAAGAGCCATCCGAAGTACACGTCGACAGCGGCAGGATCGAATTGCTCGTTTCTATTGGCCCGCTCGTCCTGTCATTCGATGCCGCAGGGCCGTCAAGGGCGGATACCCCGGCATCCTGCAGTGATGTTACACCGAAGTGCATCAGGCGCAAAGTGCACTCCGCTTGCCATTCATCCGAATTCGCCTGCACAAATTTATTCTTTCCGCAAAATTGCATCGTTCTGATGAATATCGCAATATCTTCTTTTCACACGATTTCCATTTACTGATAATTGTCAGAATAATAGCAACAAAGAGGTTACCTTATTATTATTTTACTATGTATGTGCGTAAAATATTATTCAAAATCATTAATTAATATGATTGGTTATAATAACTTCAAGAGTGTTTTGTTTTTAATCTTCTATTATTTTCAATTTCTATTGCATATAAATCTTATATTACAATAATAATCGGTTCAAAAAAAGATATTACAACAATTTTGTGAAAATATGTTATTATTAAAATAAAATATTATGAATAATACGAATAGATGTCTAATAAAAATTTGATGTTTATTCGACATTTTTTCGATTATTCCAATAATCCCACGTACAGTCTGGCCCATTTTGCAATTTCACGAGCAGTTCCATGATTATTCCATCACACTTGGCATGTACGGTACGCTTGCAACAATATAGCTTGATTTTAGTGACGATTCGCATACAGAGCATGTACGAGGAATTTTCAAGTCGGACTTGCTTCGTCGGTCAGTCTGCGATTTCTATAGACCATTAATGTGAGGATCTAGCGGTAGTGCTGGTTGCAGGACACATCGTGTTTCGTCGTTGTCGAATAACGATGTACGAGCACACGTGTACGACACGTATACAACATCTCGGCTCGGGATGTCCCGCGAATTGCGTTTCCGTGCTGCAAACCGCCGTGCGGCACGGGACCCTACGGTGGACGGTGCGTTTTATGACCGCGCGCATGGGTATCGCGATGGGCCGCGGCAAACCGGAAATGGGTCAGAGCCGAACAACACGGCGCATTGATTTCTACGATTCCGCCCGCTGCTTTATTACCACGCGCGAACTGCGACGGGAGTGGTCATTAATGTGTGGTATAGGCGAAAAAAAGCTTCTCCCTTCCTTTCCCTCTTTCTTCTTTCTTCTTTCAACATGTTTATTTTGCTCCGAGCGCGGAAGCCGGCGGTCGCGTTGTTTTTCTCGAACAATGGAGCAATATTTGGTGCCGCGAAAATGGAAATATATTTAATAACCGATACCGGGCGCGTGCGCGCGTTACGGCTGCGGTGGTTCGGACATGCGGTTTGTTTTGTCCGACGTGGATTACGCGTTGATGGAATATTATCGATATGCCCGTAGGATTTTGAACGTGTGTGCATATCGTAAAATTTTATGCTCTGAACATTGTTGTGAAATACGTGACACGGATTTTTAATTACAGATTTAGTAAATCAAGAATTTCTCTAGTTAATTTTAATTAATTTTAGTTAAGAAACAGATGTTTATTTCTTTGGTCAATTATATCTTTACATTAAAAAGGGGATTTTTTATTTTGAGAAGATGTTAAAAAGAATATTAAAATAAAATAAAAATTAACTACTATGATATTTAGTACAAAGATAAAAAAAGATTACTTCATTTCGTATATATCTTAAATATGTATAATATATAAATATAATATATACTTCCTATGAGACGCACAAATTTGTTAAATATTACAATCAATTCATTTTATTTATAATAGGTATTATTGATAAAAATTTCAGAAGAAAAAGGATCGTATTTTGTAGCCACAAGATTTTAATTATCCGTGCTGTCTTTCCAAAGAAGTTGATGTTGATCGAGAGGAACGTTTCCATTCCTGCCATTTGTCTCGCTGCCTCACGTCTTCCCGCGGGAAAACGTCCGCGCACGGGACGTGCCAACGATTTGTGTATTTTGACGAGTTTCGGGCTCGTCAGAACCGGATGTCTCCACTCCGGAGACCCGAGAGGCGCAACCAGCTGTCTCTGGTTTTGGCTTCCCTCGATACCCGCTGCCGTTCTGAGCCCTCTTCAGAACGCATCGTTACAAATGCAAATAGCATCTCGTACGCGTTTTTTTTTCGCTTTACGCCTCGGCACGAGTAGGGAAACGCGTTCTGGTCGGAGAGGATTATTAGCATAGAAAAGTTAAATGAAATTTACGCACATGCGTCCGTCGTATTGTGCCTTCGAAACGTACGCAAACATAGCAATTGCCGAGAGATTTGTGATAATATTCAAATGAATTTTTCCAAAGATTCTCTGACAATGTTTGTAATGTATCGCTCATAAAACAATGTACTATATCATAATTCGAATTGGAGGATATGAATATCGATATCTTTCTATTTTTTATCCAATTTTATAAAATATTGGATTTAAATAATAAATATATTAAGACAATTTTCCATATCAATTTAAAACAATCTAAACGGGATAAGATATTTGAAAAAAATAATCTAAAAGTATTGTGAAAGAACGATACATTTTTACATACGGATAAATAAGATCTTACAAAAGCATTACAAAAATTTCTATATATGTTTATAAAAGTCAACGGCTAAAAGAATAAAACTGCACTTATGGGATTTATCGTATTATCTGGTGTAACTTCGAATATATATTTTCTGTAGGAAATGCCGGAGTACTTTTGCTCCCCCTTCCTAACATTTCTGACATATTATTATTTTCTTCACGCGCGCTTAATAAATCCCCCGCCGAGATTTTATGAAAACGTCGTAATAAACACTCGGAGATGCCGGCGGTGTTTCTCGCTTTGCCGAATTCTGCGCCATCCCGTCTCGCGCTGCGAAAAATGCTGGCGCTGAATCATTTTACCTTACTTTCGATTCGGAAGGGAGAAAAAGGAGATGAACGCGCGTACACTCGTACGCGCGACAAAAAGGAGAAAAGGGTAGGAAAGAAAAGGGAAAAACGTCAACGAACCGGTGTCGGTAGCGCCTGCGCGAGCGTGCATCACCGAGTGTTCTCTCACGGCGTGGCGCCGCGACGCCAGGCGTCGTCAGTAGCGCGGCGTGCGCCGTCATACTCGCACGTTACTCTTCATCAAGCCGCGCGTGCATATTATGCAGTGCGCGTAGTCGCACGTTCTTGCCTAGATAACTCATCCAATCTCTCTCTTTCTTTTCTCTCTTTTCGTCAAATGTTGCGAGCACTCCTAAGAAACTCCATCAAAACAAATTTTGTGAACAATCGACATGCACGTGAAAACTTTAAATTGTACAATTACAAAGAAATCGAGGAAGTAATATTAATAATATTAATTCCGAAAATTGTTGATGAACGAGTGATGAAGAAATTATTTGATTTTGGAAAATTAATTATGTATGTGCATTTTAAATTAACTCGAGACACATCTTTTGTAACAAGTTAGTTTAGTTTAATTGCGAAGATAATGTCGAAGATATGATTCTCAGCGTCCAGCCTCAGACTGTTATCGACGATAAATTAGTGTGTGAAATTCACCATTGCGTAACGTTGAACTTTGTCGAGGAAAGGCAGAGTGGAAGCACGAAGATATGTCGTCGAAATTTGATTTGAAAATTGTAACTTACAGAAATGACGATGAGATGAGTGAAGAAAAATGAACAATTAAATTGCATAGTGACTTTCCCGGACTAACACAACAATCCTTGAAATTTTGTGTAGAAAGAGATGTTGAGGAAATATGTTTTCTCTTTCTATCTCAATTATTCTACTCATGCAAATGTATGATTTTAAAAAATTAAAGTTGCACAAAGTTGCAACGATGTAACTCACGAGAACGTCTGAAGAACATTTACGACTTGACGTCGACGTCGTTGTTCTCCTGGCTTGGTGTGCCACACGGTATTCAATACGCGAAACGTGCACTCGCGGCTCTCGTGTCGGAATAAATCGCGATAAATCGCCGGTTCGTGCGCGAACGAGCTGCGGTGGAGCACGTGTCACACTTCTACGGCAATTTCAGATCGATGTCAAATCGTATTCGCACGTTCTCGAATTATTACCAGTTTATCACTATTTCCGTCGTCGTTGTGCTATGCCGTGACAATTGTTGCCGATTGTAACGTTTACCTTCCTGTTGCACGTTAGTCGTACGCCCTGTCTATCCTCGAGTAGAATTTCATCTAATATATTCAAACTTTTCAATATCTGTCGATATTACTCGTAAGACATCAGGCGACTCGAGTATAATGTCGCCCATTGTAAATAAATAATTAGGATGATCGTTTCAATGCATGATATCAAAGAAAATCGCATTTTTTATTTCGTCAAATTACGCCATGATCGTTAGAACTGATAACTTTGAATTATCTCTAAATGATCAGCATCATTGGTAGAACATTGCTGACAAACTGTGAAAGTGTCGTGAGAAAATTGTGAACTTCTGGAATATATGAAAAATTGAAAATCCCGAACGAAGCAGAAGATTTCCAATTGGTGGAACGATATGGCGACTGGTCAGGAAGGCAAGGAATCCCCCAGGTATTATTTTCAATATATATCATTCAAATAATCAAAATAATCTTCTAAATATTAAATATGTATGCTTATATGAAGTGTGCTAATAAAAAAATATTATAAATGATTCGTTTACGTATTTATTAGCGCAGGCCGTTTCAATTAGCATAGTAATGAAATATAGTATCTCACAATCTTAATATCAATAATAAATAACGTATTTTTCCGAAATCAATTTTTTTCATTGGAAGGATTTTGAAGGAAGGAAAAATATTGCATTGTTAACACTTAATTAAGCTTTTGAAATCTGTATGTAATTAACGGAATTCTTCGTTCGGCTTAATGTAGCTTCATTAGCACGATGTGCGATTAATAGCTAATATGGATAATTAAATCCCAACTAGTTTCTCATTACCTCCCGCGTATGACGCGTGTATCATCATCCATGTGCGACGGCGAGTTTAAATCGGGGGAAATCGAGAGAGGAAAAAAAACGGTGTTTACAAGCGCGTTTCCCGGTGACGCGCGAATGAGCCGAGGATCCGCTTTTACTGATACATCGGAATTAAATCCCGGGGAGAGATTTTCTATCTACTCGCGACGGTAATCGTGGCACGTACCGCGACATTATGACGCGGTCCATGTGCGTCGGGGCGTCTATGAACGTGACTGACCATCATGCGCTTGCAGTTGCAGTTGTACGCGTCACTCTGCTGTCGAGTGGTACGTGCACACTCGTTCGATGTGCGGGGCGTAAAATCGCAACTGAAGTTTGAAACGCGCAACAACACAATGTACAATGAATAATTAAAAGCCTAGAGGCGGGATAACAACACATGATAAAAATTGCACTTTCAATAGAATGAACAAGAAAAACTAGTGGATTCATTATTTCTCTTTCAAAATTATTTAAATTGTGATACGAATTCAAAATAAATGTCGATCCTATTTATTATTTAGAGAAAACAAAAATTCTTACGCCTGCACGTGTTTTTTCGTTCAAATTTTGTATTATTTTAATTAATATGACATAGGAAAGAGCATCCTTGCTCAATTTATTTTTTTCTTTCGTTCTCTCTGCGTGTGGGAATGTATACGATAATCTCTCCGATTTCAGTGCATGAGAAATTTCTAGTGATATTGCGCACAAGCGTATAGTATCGCGTATAGTATGAAGTACCCTTGGTATCTTCTGCGAAGAGCAAACACGTTGAATTTTCGGAGTCAGAGTGAAACATCTATCACAGATAAAACGCGCATTTCTCGCGATGCATGTGAAAATCAGTACGCGAATGTATATAATAATGGTGAGACTCGACAGACGCGAGTGGAAATATAGCGTTTCATTACTCGGCAACAATGATGTAGCGAAGAATGCTAAAGAAAAAGACCATCGCGATTTTTCCATCGATGGCGACCTCCGGCCTTCCGGATCCTCGTCTCTACTTATTATGATCCCGCGTCGTTTTTCTCGAAGACGTCCCCCTCTCACCCCCCCTTCGTCCAATATTCCGGATATTATATGAACCGCGACGTTCGATCATCTTTCTCTTTCTTTCTCACTCTTTCTCGTCCGGTTATTACAAAACTCACTTTCAACGAAAGGTGAAGGATAGCGAGGAGAAGGAAAGCAAAGCGGAAGAACGAAGGCGGTGAAAAACGTCGGACGTGTGCCCGCAAGGCATTGTCATTTTCATCGGCTCGCAGCTTTCCCGCGGCTTTTCCTCCTCCTGTCCCGCCGTTCCTTGCCGCTGTCTCCTTCCACTACTATGCGAAAAGCTAACGGCAATGAAAATACGATGCTCTCTTTATTCGCCGCAAAGCGTACGCCATGCCGGTCGTTCGTCTGGATGTTTCGATATGTCAGGGGACAGAGTCGCACAAAATAATCATAGGTCTGACTGAATTATCAGGCTCTTTATGGAAAATTAATGTATAAAATAATATTCATCCGCATTGTCTCGTAACACAGAAAATATTATATGCATTGTGTGCATTATTCAGTCAAACTGAAAGGCCAAATTTATTAATGTTAGTAATGATCCCACATGGTGATATTAATTAACATTTGGTTTGAAATTAATTACATTTCGAGCCCATTTGTTGCACATATCTAATAAAGTTCGATGACGTGTCATTTTTTCCGAGGAAAGCTTAATTTCCGAAACAAGTAGTAGTGTATTTTAACTTTTTAAAAATAATTGGATTTAAAAAAAAAGAATAATATCCGTACTAATATATATCAATTATTTCCAATTTTATTACAATTTTCTACTTTTTAAATTTTAGTTAATTTTCTTTTTAATACATTAAATTTATTCTTGTCGAACAACGTTTTGTATATTACATGAATTAATAAGTATAATTGTAACAATGTCACATTGGCACGGAAATGAAATGATGACTCATTTCAAATTTTCAATTTCGCAAATTAATTCAATCTCAAGTACTTACGCATCTCCTGTTATTCAGCGAGATAACGGCGAGTCTGAAATACGGCTTAACTTCATGATTGTGCGAGAAAATAAGTGTCGAATTTCCAATCGAGAATTCGTCTAAAAAAGAACGACAGGTTCACGAAGTTGGCAAAATTTCATAAAGACGAGATGTTAACTTTTCCACGAGATTTTACAGCCCGTCGTGGCCACATCGCCTAATACGTATTTCGTCGAGAGTCTTTCGACGGCGGTTTACGACTAACGAACGATTCTTCACTATAGAAAGGAAAGTGTCTCGTCAGCGTCGGCCTGAAAAGACGAGGAAAAGCTTGGCGGGGAGGCTTCGCTGCTGGGAAAATTACGCTGCGGGATTTCGCGTGCGACGGAAGAAGACGGACTGCTGTAATTTGTTTTCGGTCTCCTTTGGTTGTTCTCTTCTCTCTTTTTTCTTCCTTGCATGCATTTTCAGCAACCAGGAGAGGAATAAGTCCCTCAGACTGCGGATGAATCTTCAAGGAGTCCCATTGATTAATATTTTCCGGAACTAGAATTACGTTTAATTTTCAAACGTACGCGTTGCGCGATAATTAAACTCATGACTCCTTTGTGAAGAAGAAAAACAGAAGCAAAGAAAATATCGAAAACCTTTACTATCGAGAACCTTTATTATCCTTATTAAAATTTTCTTCTTAAAAAAATTGCATAATTTAAATCGGGATATTATAAAAAAATAATATTTTATTTTAAAATTTAATTTGCCTATCTTTATTTATATATAGCTTTGAAATTGTTAATATGTCTGAAGACTCTATATCTTCGAGAAGCTTATCTACATTAGATAAGCTTAATGATTAATTTTATGACCTGTTTCTGCTGAGCTAAGGACTGAAATGATTTCATCAACTATTTAGATAAACAGACCACATAATTTTTGGCGATGATTATGTCTCGCATAAATTACGGCACATATATCCGATCGTGACTTATGTCGTATAAATCACGCATTACTCTATCAACCACAAATGTCATGCGACGATATTCGTAGGATTATAAGTAGTTCGTAGTCACGCTAAAGACCAAATAAAGTGTCTTCGGAAGTACACTTTAATGAATTACTTTTCGCTTCCGGTTCGGCGTGGAAGGTAGTTCCGTAAAGAACGGCGGCTCCCTCGCGGCTACCTTACAGCTCTTCGAAGTCCATCGCCCGTCTCCTTGGAAATTAGTTTGAACATCGTAGGAAGAGCTGCGCATGGCGGAGGAGAGTAGTTAACCGGAGGTGAACCAACGTGAACTAAACTCGCACATAATGACGGCAGATTGAAAAAGTTTCCCCGGTCGGCCGTCGGCGGCAGGTATTTTCTTTCTCGCTAGCGGCGAGTCGCGGCTTATCCGGCTTAAACGGAAGTGGGATACGCGCGATTATGGTCTTTATTATTGAAAGAAACGAGCTCGGTAGAGGCATGAGCACGGCGCATACGGCTCGTAAACTGCGCGACTTATACGATGTCCGGCAGATTACGAAAGGAAATTATGAACGACGATTCATGGCGCGTGCGTGTATGCAATATACGCGCGATTCTTATCATGAAATAATTCTAAATGAATGTACAAGTTGTTGCAAAGTTATCGGTTTTAATCGCAATTTCTATGACAAATTTCTTCTAGTAAAAATTTTATCGGAATCAATTAGCTGTCGTGTTGTTTGAATTGTTAGGATTAAAAAGGATTTGAAGATTAAATTTCTTTCCTATGTAATCCAGGGATTAAGTTTGAAAAATTGTTAGATTATTTCGCGACGTTTTATATATTGTCATTGGTGGTGACGATTAGCATGATTGTCCACGAATATAATGCCTAGCGGTATCCATGAACGTAGTAATTGGTACTCGTTTACTACGCTTATCTCTGTACTTAGCGCGGGACCGGCGATACGGACAATTCATTTCTACGCAAATGAAAGTAAGGTATTAGGGTCGTATTTCTCATGGAACGTACTACGGTCCGCATGCTAATTCGACTTTCTCGTAGAGTGAATTTAGAGTCGCGCGGACGTGCGGCGATACGCTAACAGATTCGGCGATTAAACTTGCGAACGACCACACGCGACCTTAGTCGCGCGATAGTCATTTAATTCACCTTTTTCACGAAAGTGGCTTGAACTTAAATCGGAATAATTGCAAAAGAGAAAGAACGGGATAAACGGCAACGTTAAATTGTAATCAACTATAATTAATGAGAGAATTCAACTTTTAACCAAACATTTTGAAAATTTTATTGATTCAAAGTACAGTTAAATGTAATATATTTTATTATTTCACATATATTTGCTGTTATTTTCGCAATCGCATATATATGTACATACATTCAATTTATCTTAAATAAATATTGCATTCATATATATACATATACATATATGTGCACATGCATGGCACGCATGCATACACACACACACACACACACACACACACACACACACACATACACAGAGTCATTTCACATACAAAGACTAATGAAGTGAAGCGAACAGGCGGAAAGTTAATTACAGGCTCTCTTCTTACTCGTCATTTTTCACGCGTACGGATTTAT